CCCATTGCTTTATGCATTAACCCGGGGGGGGGGGTAAGAATGATGCTTCGCTTCACAGGACCATTAGGAAAAATTGACATAGATTGAAAAAGAAAACAACAACAACACAGGAACCACAGATTTTAAATATACAAAGACAGTCATCCCGCCAGAGCTTTAACCTTATATTCTTGAAAACTCATAGCAATAGAGAGAAACCTTGCCACTGATTGATTTTTTTTTAACTTATTGATTAGGAAAAATTGCTTTTAGGGTTTCTAAAAATACAAAGCCAGTTGCTTCTTTTTAAATAAGTTTGAGATAATGATAGGGTTAAGAACATAAGAGAAGCCAATGTTGGATCAGGCCAATGGCCCATCCAGCCCAACACTCTGTCACACAGTGGCCAAAAATACCAGGTGCCATCAGGAGGTCCATCAGTGGGGCCAGGACACTAGAAGCTCTCCCACTGTTGCCCCCTCCCAAGCACCAAGAATACAGAGCATCACTTGCCCCAGAGTTCCTATCTATACCTTGTGGCTAATAGCCACTGACGGATCTCTGCCTCATAGGTTTATCTAATTCCATCTTGAAGTCGTCCATGCTTGTAGCCTCCACCACCTCCTGTGGCAGTGAATTCCATGTGTTAATCACTCTTTGGGTGAAGAAGTACTTCCTTTTATCTGTTCTAACCCAACTGCTCAGCAATTTCATTGTGTCCATGAGTTCTTGTATTGTGAGAAAGGGAGAAAAGTACTTCTTTCTCTACCTGCTCTATCCCATGCACAATCTTATAAACCTCGATCATGTCACCCCTCAGCCGTCATTTCTCCAAGCTAAAGAGCCCCAAGCGTTTTAACCTTTCTTCATAGGGAAAGTGTTCCAACCCTTTTATCATTCTAGTTGCCCTTTTCTGCACTTTTCCCAATGCTATAATATCCTTTTTGAGGTGTGGTGACCAGAACTGTACACAGTATTCCAAATGAGGTCACACCATTGATTTATACAGGGACATTATGATACTGGCTGATTTGTTTTCAGTTCCCTTCTTAATAATCCCCAGCATAGCATTGGCCCTTTTTATTGCAGCTGCACACTATCTTGATGTTTTCAGTGAGTTATCTACTACAGCTCCAAGATCTCTCTCTTGGTCAGTCTCTGCCAGTTCGGACCCCATCAACGTGTATTTATAATTCAGATTTTTGGCTTTAAGGGTTGCTGTAAAATCTGGCATCGAAAAAGCATAAACTTTGTGCATATCTCCTTCATATTGACAGAAGGTACTTTTTTCAGCCAGAACAATGATTTTAAAAAAAAAGAGTTTGTATGCTTTGTGAATATAGAATAAGAACTGACTCTCCTGGCATCACCGAGAATTCATATCAAATGGTGACAAAAATGGAAGAAGCAGAGACTAAACTTTTCCCTGTTCTGTTCATCTTGGCAGAAAGTTACTCATCATGACAAAATATTTTTGTTGCTTATAAGGGCTGACAATATATCCAAAAGGATTTTCAGATGAGATTATGACAATATCAGCACTAGAGAAAGTGGGGCAGATAAGAAGCAGTCATGCTGGCTGGCTGGCTGGCAAGGAGGCCCCAGAGGAGTGGTGCTCATCAGAAGTGTCAGTTTGACAACTGATGGCTGTATTAAGGATGCAGCAGTCCCTTTCCGTAAACTCGGCACACTTTACAAAAAGTAGCAGAAGTTCATTTAGAAGATATGAAGACCATTTGCAATGGAATTTTCACTGTAAAAGTTGAGTGAATGGAAATGTAAACTAGAAATCACAGGGTTGGAACTCGTGCAAACTTTCCACTTGCATTAGAGCTCTTGCACAAGCGGAAATGCAAGAAAAGACCATGGTAGCTGCTTTTGCTAAGTCAGCCTTGATGCATCCCTACTAGCATTTCTGCTTAGATCCAGGTGGTCAGCCACGTTGGTCTGAAGCAGCAGAACAAATTTAGAGACCAGTGGCATCTTTAAGACCAACAAAGGTTTATTCAAGGGCCCCTGCCACATGGGGGGGAAAAGAACGGCCGAAGTGCGGCTTTTTAAAGCCGCACCAAAAGAGACACGCGGCGGCGGGATCAGATAGCTCCCCTGAGCCGCCGCACAGTTGCTCCCCGGCACGATCAGATGCCGGGGGGAAGCCACTGCAGGGAGAGCGAGGCAGCCAACCTGCGCATGTGTGCGCGTGCGCAGTTCGGCTGGGAGCCTCGATTGCTCCTGCAGATGGGCGCGCCAGCAATCTCATGGCCGCACTTGCTGCACCTTTCCAGGTTGGCGCTACCTTTTACTTGTTTTTTTTTTCTTTTTGCAGCGGGTTTTAGGCCGGAAGGGACGGATTGGGGACGTTTGCACACCGATTCCCAGATGTTGCGGTGTGCTTGCGCCCGTTTGCTGCGCCCCCGATCCGTCCCTCTTCTGGCTCAAAACCTCCCGTGTGACCGGGGCCAAGGTATGAGCTTTCGTGTGCAAAGCACACCTTTTTTCAAATACACTGAAATGATAGGTAAGGTTCAGACTTATAGACAGGGACTTAGCAGCAAATTAACATGTAACATTACATGATTATGTTTAAGATATGCAAAGTCAGAACTAAATAACAAGCTAAGGTTATAAGGTCAACAGTTGTAAAGCAATAAATATGTCAAAATAGCTGATAAATGTATAAAGGTATCTTTTCTAATTGTGGGAAGCAAACCGAGAATCTCATTCTCTCCTCCCAGGTATGGAGATCACTTAACAGGATTTTTTGAGGTGAATGCAGTGTCATGTCAACAAAACATCCCAGTATTCCTTGCATTACATTCAGTATTCTATTTTGAAAAAGAAATACACTAAAATACAGAGGATTTATAGTCCTTGTTGAGAATACATACGTGATGATTGAATGAGTTAGCATATGTAATGAGATAAGAAACCAATATCCCTGTTGAGTCCTGGGAAGGTTTTTGTTCCAAGTGGTATAATAACTTATAATTCAGCAATTTCTCTTTCCATTCTGTTCCATTTCTACTTGTACAAGATCTTGTGAAACAAATTAAGTACTATATTTTGTACAAAATCTTGTGCAAGCAGAACTGTGCAAAGACCATTTATGTTTCTGCTTGCTTGTCACTGGATACAAACCATAGTTAATAAGTTCCTCAATCACATATAGTGCACTGATCCTAATATTACTTTTTAAAAGGCATGGGACAATACATTATATATGACACTCGGAGTCTTGCTCAAAATATTGATCCTATGACTGATTGTTTAGCCTATCTAACTTCTGTACTGTTTGTCATTCATTGCTAGATCCCCGGGCTATTTCTGCATGGCTATTTAAACATGTATGCTATCTGGCCCAGTGCAGACCTTTCATAATAGTGAGAGCCTTGACTTAAAGTTGTGTAGCTCACTGGTATCTTTAAAATTATTCTCCTGTACCAGATCATGCTTCAAATAGTGTCTCGTATTACTAAACCAGTCACAGAGCAATCCTAAACAGACTTACACCATTCTAAGCTCATTAACTTCAATTGACTTAAAACAGTGTAACTATGCTTAGAATGACACTGTCAGTTGTGTTACTATGATTAAATGCTGTCTATAAAATATTTTCAAAAGGGAAATTTAACAGTATTCTTTTAAAAGTATGTATGTGGTTCTTAATGATCTCCCATCCGAATTGCTGATCAAGTCTACCAATACTTATTAAGATTAAACACAGTGAAAGATCTGTTGGTCCCAGATCATTCACTGAGCCCCTTTCCCCCCAACTTCTTCCTTGGTTAATTTTTAAAGATTTTATAGCTTCTTGGTATCCCAAACATGGTCATAACATTATGACAGCAGATTCCTTGAGAGTTGATGAGACATCTCTGGTAGAGAATCAACCATTTTCTAAGCCTTAACTAGTCCCAGGGAGACTTGTGGTCCTGATCCTCTTCAGGCCCCTCATGAATGCGAATTGAGAAGAACCCACTACTTGCATGTGATTGTCTTATGTCTTACACAGTGTGGGGACAACAGACCCAACCTGTGTGCTCTGTAATATGTGAAAAGGCATGTTAGCTTGCACAGTAGCATTTCAGTCGAAGACTGTAGCCTCGCAGTTGCACCTACTTTATCCTCCCTGATTGCAGGAGTTTTATAAAGAGAGAATAATAAATCATGCAATATACTTTTTAAGTCATAACAAAAGATAGGTGGATATATAGTGCAGAAATATTTATTATCATTTATGCAAGTAATACTCTACAATACCAAATATAATATCCTGGGAGCATCTTTTATTTCTTTTAATATATTTATAGACCCCCTCTTTGCAATGTTTGCGTGTCCAGTAGAAATTAAGAGAAATTAGAACAGAAGAGGGCCTCATTTTTCTGCTGCAGGAAGTCCTGTGTCTGTTTCCAGATCTATCTTCATTATATGAATTCCTACTCAGACATCAGTCTTCAGTTTGTCCATACTCAGGCAGTTCCTCAGGCTGGCAAACTTCCAGACTGCCAACATAAATATTTTCAAAATACTGGCTTCAGTGCAAGAGTCTGTCCAAGCCCAGGTGTGGCTGTTAATATGTACATCTATCAAATCCTCTCTCCCATAAAAGTGCATTTGGAAGGGTCACTGTTTTTCACCCACAGTGTTTAACTAAGCTTTAGGGCTGTCATTTGAAAATAAAATGTGGTCATTCAAAAAAATTATCATCAAACTGCACTAATAGTGATGAGAAGCAGCTGTAGTCCTTAAAGTGGCTTCTTTCTTCAATGCATTTATCCAGATTTGTATGAACATATCCTGCTCCACTAGCAGTGCAATCCTTTCCAAGTCCATTGACTTCAGTGGGCTTAGAAGCGTGTAACTCTCCTTAGGGATTCCACTGCAAGACACATGACATGGGGTGAAAAATGTTCTTTTGTGACAGCTAGAAAGAGGTTGTTGTTTCAGACCAAAACAAGGACTGCATATTGGAATGTCTGGAGAAGTTTATTTCACCCGAAATTCCATATTTTCCTATTCAGAGCAAATGCCATCCAGGAGTGGTTTTCGAATGGGTTTTGCTGGCAAGTCAACTTCAGCTTTCATTGTGCAGTAAAAGAACTGTTCTCTGTTTTATGTCTAAGTGACACTTCTGCTTTTAATCACGCCTCAGGGGTATGACCCAGTCTGCATAATATGGCCTTTTCTTCTTGTGCTTAATTAGACAGAGAGTCTTCTAGTATACACACCCAGCATGAGAAGGAGTACCTGTTCCTTTTATTTTTTTATCCATCACAGAAACATATCATCAAGCACAGTCTATCATTTTGTCCTTCATTTCCATTACACTAGTAACATTAAAAACATAAGGTCATAGCCTTTAATGCTCACCTTTGCACATGAAAAATCTCCTAGACAAGGATTCCAGCCATCCTTGGAGGAATGCACTTTAGAGGAAGGGCCATGGCTCAGTAATAGAGTGCATGTTTTGCATGCAAAAAGCTTGCAATGATAAAGCACATGCTTTGTATGGAATCCCAGGCATTTCCCTTTAAATATGTTAAGAAATGCCTTGCCCACCCACCCCTCAAAAGAAACACCACACAGGTTATGGGTTAAACTGGGACTTTTATTTATACATAGGCTGATCTGTACCATCATTAACACATTAAAGCATGGGTTGCATTGTGCTTGCAAAGCAAGCCTCCTACCCTGGCTCAGAGCCAGGCCCGAGATTCTTCTGGACCTTACTCGTCATGGTCCACATGGGGAGGGAGGGCACATTCTACCCCACAACTGCAAAGCTTTAAGGCTTGGCATATGCTCCCCCAACCCTGAAGAGGCCCCCAACTGAGTCACCCTGACTGCAAAGCCCATAGATACCCAATTTGAGGACCCCCCCCCCATTGCTGATATCTCAGGGTGCTTGCCAACTCAAAATTCCCTCAACCCATACTTTTCCCACCTTCCCAGTTAGGGTCTAACCAGCTTTACCAGGCTTATTTATACCTCATTCCTTCTCAGCCCTGAAACCGGTGACTACCTAATCCCACACGGTCTAAAAAGAGGGCAGGTGGGTGGGGAACTCGCTCTGGGCCGTACTAAGGAAGGAGAGTGGCCGCCACCAGACCTGGCTCTCAATTGGCCAGCGCTCCCATGCTGAGCCCCCAATGGCTCACCACCCCCTCCTACTTCCTTCAAGAGGACCGGGAGGCTTATCATCCTGGAGATCTGTTGCCAATCAAAATGTACATTATTGAACTAGATGAGCCAATTAACTAACTCGGTATAAGGCATGTTCAAAAGCCAGTATTATTAAAAATAGTTTTTCAATCCACTCTGGGCTCAGATAGATGAGATGAATGTTATGCATCTCATTCCATCCATAAAATGCAAATGGCAAGCTCATGCAGCCTCATGAATCTGGAGTCCTTTCTTTGTTATTAACATTTAAAGCTAAAAAGACCTAATGCTGGACAGGTAAACCGAGTGGAAGCTGAATGATTGAACACCTTCTCCCTTAAACACCCTCTCCCTCCTTGAACAGCCCCACGACTAACAGAAACTGCAGAATACTTCAGTTTGAATTTTATGGATAGGAGCAGAACTATAATAAAAAATTCTCCAGAGTGTTTGGAATATTTCCTATGAAATAGAACATGTGGAAGACTATAGTAGTAGAAAAGAGCAAGAGACCAGTAGTACCTTAAAAACTAACAACATTTGTGGCAGGGTATGAGCTTTTGTGAGTCCTACTGGACTCTTGCTCTTTTCTACTACTAGAGACAGACAAACATGGCTACCCATCTTAATCTATATGGAAGACTGGTGATTCAAAAGGCTGGATTCCTTTACTGAAATATTTCCTGGAAAATCTGTGTGGGTTTTCTTTGCGGCTCTTTTTGTCCTCTCTCAGCCCCTGTTACTCTGCAGCATTAGCATATAAGAATTATTAATTATCAAGTGGGAAAAGCAAAGGTAAGCTAACAACAATACTGTAGTGGTTCCTTTGCTAGATCTAAAGGATAAGGGTTTTCCAAGAATGATGCTTTTCACATTTTACAATTGTAGGCTGCAATGTAGTATGAAGGAAGCCAAGAAGAACCAATTTAGAAAATTGTGAAGTGGTCGCGTGTGGAACATCAGTATTGTGAACGTATTGTGCCGACACTGGGTTGATCAACACATTTGGCAATACTCCTTAGGCCCCTGCCACACGAGCAGGAAACTGCAGAAGAGAAGTGTGGCTGTTTGCCCCGGGGCAAACTAACATGCAGTAAAGCGATCAGACCTACTGTGGAGGTTCTGTGGAGGTACTGTGGAGCTTCCGTGGGTAGGGAGAGGTGCCGATCACAACACACGCCTGCGCGCAATGAAGAAGCGCACAGCACGGCAAACCGGTTTTCTTTTTTTGTGTACACTACGAATGCGCATGCTCCGTTGGGTGCGTGTGCGCATCCACGGAGACTTGGGGGAAAAAAAACCCTTTTCCGCAAGGGGACATGGGCGGGCGCCGGATGCCACTGGAAACGCGATCAGACGCCCGCCCTTGCCCCGCAGTTTCTGGAAACTAGTACCTCCAATGTACTAGTTTTTTGCTGCGCTTTTTCGGCAGGAAGCCTCAGTTGTGCCACGGAAGCGCTACGCTTCCCAGATGTGCTGGTGAGATCGCGACCAGAAACTCCGCTTGTCTTCCGTATCTCTTGCGTGGCTAATGTTGCGTGTGACCGCAGCCTTAGTACAGTTGTTCCAGGAGTGAATCACTTCCAACTTCAGTTTTATAAACATAGTATGTGTTGTGTACCCAGGCAGGTACGCACACGCGGTCAGGACAACACGTGGTCAGGCGAAGGGCCTGAGCTTCGTCTCCAAAGACAATAGCCTGAATGGATCCTAGTGTGCACCTATCGGGAGGCTAGGATCCTAGAAGGGAACTGTGGGTCTAGGGGTGCACTGTAAATACCCTATCACTGGTGTGGGTGTGGTGTGATTCGGGAATATAAGCCGGCCTGTGAGCTGGCTAAATCATCTCAAGATCTGACTGTAACTAAATAAAGTATGAGCTGTAATCACTCTTCAACGCATCAGCCTCAGTACTTTATAGTATGGCATCCTGACATTAGATAAAAGCTCCCTATGAGAGGGAAACTGGCACACCAGAGACTTTTCTCCCAAGAGGGGGCATTTTTCTCTGATTGGCCTGTTTGATCTTGTTTTTTTTCAATATCAGGGAGCACTCAGAAATGTAATTTTCTGCCTCCCATCTTATGTGGAACATTATCTCTGCTACAGAATGCTGATGAAGGAGTAATTAGTCTGTCAGGGTTGTTAGTTAGTTGGAGATTACACATCTGTGAATCTCAAGAAATGAAGAAATCTCTGCAACAGCTTGTTAAGTGGTTCTCAGCTTTTCTTCTTAGAAGTCCATTTTGTTGAAAATTTGCAGGCCTCGCTGCAATATTGCACATATTAGCCAATGGCCATACTCATTTGTATGAAATGGTTAGCATTTATAAAAACTTCACATTTTCAAGCATGTCCAGTGCATCTGAGGCATCTTTGAGACCCAACAAAACAGGAAGGTAGCATCCCTGACCAGGATAGCCCAGGCAATCCCATCTTGTCAGATCTCAAAAGCTCAGCAAGGCCAACTCTAGCAAGTACTTAGAAGGGTGACCTCCAAGGAATACCAGAGGCGGGATGCAGAGGCAGCCTAATTAAGCTACCTCTCTGGAAGAAGGAGGAGGAGGAGGAGGAGGAGGAGGAGGAGGAGGAGGAGGAGGAGGAGGAGATTGGATTTATACCCCGCCCTTCACTACCCAAAGGGGTCTCAGAGCGGCTTACAAACTCCTTTCCCTTCCCTTCCCCACAACAGACACCCTGTGAGGTAGGTGGGGCTGAGAGAACTCTTGACAGAAACCGGTCTTTTTCAAGAACAGCTCTTATCAGAGCTATGGCTTGCCCAAGGTCATCCAGCCAGGTGCAAGTGGAGGAGTGGGGAATCAAACCCGGTTCTCCCAGATTAGAGTCTGTGCACTTAACCACTACAACAAACTGGCTTGGAAAGCATCCAAGCCCCCAGTAGGGGTCACCAGAAGTCACCATGACTTCCAGGTAGGCACACAAAACACACACGCACACAGAAATTAGCTTTAAGATTAAATTTTAAAAAAACCAGGAAGGTAGCAGTTCTCTCTGTATAAAGCTGCATTGGCCACAGTCACATAGAAGTTCTGTGGCAGCAATCTTCTGTTAACTTTGTGTACAGATAAGGGGCACTAAAGCCTTCTAATGTCCACAGTGCTTGTCCACAAATGTTTTTTCCCCCCTAACTAGGCTTGCTTCTGTTATTGAAGCCAAAACTGAGCGGGCATTTCTATGAGAAAAATCAGCAGAGGACATGAAAACTTTCAGAGTGTGAAATGGGTCCTCCCTTTGAGATGACACAAGATAGTCGTATGGGGAAGGGCAAGCTGTTTTCTGACCTTTCCAAGCATATGTATTTATTAGCACAGGCAGGTTTTGTGCCTTGGAGTGTTTTCATTCTGGACTTAACGTAGATGTTAGCAACTGAGCCAGGGGAATCTCCTAGTTATGATTGTTCTTATATCGGGGCATAGCTAGGACTGAGGTCTCACTAGGGTAGCAAATCTGTGTCAGCACGATATTGTTCCAGACTGCAGGTAGGGCTCGTATGGTGCAATACTTCTCCATTAAAAAGTAGCATACACAATAAAATGCTATGTCAAAGGGAGAAGTTCTAGACTCCATTCAGGATATATTTTTTTTAATTATAGGGGAGCATTGCATAACAGTGAAGGGTACAACACAGACTGACCACCTCTGGGAGAGCTAGAACCTTGTTAGACCCTGACAGTGCAATCCTAAACAGAGTTGCACCCTTTTCAATCCATTGAAGTCAATGAACTTAGGGGGATATAACTCTGTTTAGGATTGCATTATGAATTAGGTATGGCTGTAATAAGCGTGGTAATTCTAGTTCTATCCTGAATCAAAAGATGTTTCTTAACAGCTGGAATAATGTTAATATCCCCTTGAACTCTACCTAGTGCAGCTTCAGAGT